ACTACTTGCATATTATAATATATTTTATTTGCTTTCCAAATTCAAACGATCGGTTTTCCATCGATATCCACGACCCTCTGGATATGATCGTTAGTTCGAACCGTTTGCCTAATTTGAACATGACAAATAAATCTTGCGGATTGCAGCCTAATTTGAACATGATAAATAAATCTTGCGGATTGCATGGACTGTTTGAATACGATGGCTATCTTTTGTTTGATTACCTTATCTTTGACATAAAAGAAAATCCAAAAATATTAATTGGGATTTAAATTAGAAATTTTGCATGTTTAGGAAATCCTAAATATATCTAGAAGATAAGATAATTGCTTAATTTAAATTGGGATTTAGGGTAGTTTATTTCCTAGTTTGAATTAGGGGTTATTCTATTCCAAATAGATTATTTAGGACATTTTAAATTTCGAATTTTCATAAAAATACCCAAAAAGAAGTCATTTTAGGATAAGTTAGAATGTCTTTCTAGAATAGATTCCATGTTATTTTAGTCATTTTTTTAATTCCAAATTTCATTGAAAAATACCAAAAATACATCATTTGCCCATTGTTAAAATTAGGTCATATTGTCGCATGACATATAATTCTCATGCTAGGTTTAATCAATCGCATGTCATGTTTTACATGTCATTGCACTTAGGTTAGTTTTCATCTTAATAAAGAGAAAACTCAAAAAAAATACGTTGAGTGAATTGCTTGTTAATTAGAAATCATATTATGGTTATTTGTATGATTTTCTAGCTAACATTGCAGATGCTTACATTTCTAAAATGTACATTATTCTCCTAAGCTAGTAATTTATTTACTGCTTTCTTTATTGGGTGTTAAGTTGGTGGATTGCGCACCCGCATGGTCACCTTACGTGTTAGCAACTAGATAATAAAATGGATCCAAACTGCCTGCTCAAACATTTTTATAAAAAGAAAATGTACCGAAAGAGCGTTAAACTAGCTCTAGTGTAACCAAGTCCCCAAACTCAAAATATCTGGTAAAACATATCTTCTTATGTTTTATTTGGGTTTCTAATCGACCTACCGCAAATAATTAGTGGTGACTCCAGCATGAAAACATTTGCACGTTAAGAACTTCAATCCTAAGTCGCAAATTGGTAGGGCTTGGGAAGGCCCGAGTTAGGCTTAGAGTTAATAATCCATTAGCCGAACCCCTAGGTTGCACACCCGCGGGAGGTGAGGTCACGACACCAATCATACCATTTGTTGGGTTGACGTCGCAAAAACTTGATATATTCACCGAGAAGATCATCAAGAAAGAGCCAAAGTTGGAGACCGTCAACATAACCAATCGGATCGACCTTCACTAAAAAACTTAAGCCAATGACTTATGAAACAAATGAGATTGTTAGTTGCTCCACACTATACCAGTTCTCCGATGTAGGACTTTTTCAACACAATTTACACGTGCATCTCAACATCTCAATGAGAAAATTCCTCCCAATGCAGTCACCAACGACAGAACATAATTTTCTCTATGATATCCCAAATGATAATGCACTACTAATTGATTGTTCTGCAATCAATAACATAAGATCCGCAATCCTTCTTTTCTGTCGTCTCGTTCTATTTGGAATGTTCGTTTCAAGAACCGATTCGCTACTTGATCATTCCTGTGACACAAGACTCGTAGTATCGTGTTCGGATCTGATCTACTCCACTGTTCGGTTGTTGGAAGCACAAATTGCTTTTTCCTCGTATCCTCGGTTCCGTTCTCGTCCATTTTACGCATCACAACACTAATATCTTGGATTAGCTTGTCCGTTGGTTGACTCATCAAAGCGATCACCATTTCCACCGTCTCTGCCTCCTTCTCCACTACGTCCTCGCTCATCAATCCTTCCCCAGATACACAAAATGATCGCTTCAAGCACTCGAAGTCCTCCTCGATCATTCGGTGATTCGACCTGTAAAATATTCTAGAGTTCCCTCCTGCAAGCAAAACCATAAGGTAGGCATCGAAAGAGGCCTTCATGACTTCTTTCATCGCTAATGGTTGTGCTTGATCGATGAGAATCATGCAAAGCAGACTCAAATCTGCTTCAATGTCCGCAAAGTTGGCCTTACACGTGCACTAGCGACTTCACCAATATAGAGGCTATTGTAGAAGATATGGTTAGAGTCGACGAAGTTCAAGCAATGGGCAGCAACTTCTGAGACATGTTGGCAGGCTTCACGTATGGCCGAGCAGGCGTTCTGAAAGTAGGAAGCACAGTCGTTATGGTGCTTCTTGTTGCCGAAATGTCTTTGACCAAGAGAGCCAATGCGAGAGAGTGACAACATCTCTTCCAAGGAGTGGAGATAGGCGAGGAGATAGTGCAAAGTGTTGAGGCGGATGTAAAGGTGTTGCGTCCCGTGGCTCATCGATGGGTGAGTATGGTCAGCTTCTCTCGTCCGGCATCCTCGTGAGTCTTCTATGCCGACCTTGCAAGGGGTCACCTTTCTACAGAGTTTGGCAAACTTGGAATCTCGACGACATCTCGTTAAATGGGGAAGAACAGGTATGAAATTTTGCTTTTATCCTGCATTGAAGATTTTCTAGAAATAATGAAATCAAGTTGTGGTAATTCGAAACAGAACATTATATTCTAAAGATTATTTTTAAGAAACTAACAAACGTTTCATGACTTTTTAGATATATATGCCATACTTACTCTTCATTTCTAAGGTGTCATTGGTCAATAGACATTAAATGTTTTTGCAATAAAAGAAGAATCTGGCAGTCACTTCTTATGTAATCGCAAAACTAAAGCATGAGCATACATCAAGTCAACCATTGACTTAGATGAACAATGAGAATGCAATAGGTACAAAGTGATAAGCGAGGACAAGCTACATGACAGGTGATACTTATCACATGATGCAACAATTGCGGCATAGTCCTGAAAGAGACTCCGTAAACTGTTTACGAGATCATGAACCAAATCCTTAGTAATTTCCATTCGAATGGCGAAGAAGTCGTCCACGGTTTCTTTAGTGAACTTGATCAAGTCTTCAGCTGATTCCGCACATGGCTTTGCTTTCGATTTCGGATTCCATGTCTGTTACGAACCACACTTGTCATTAGCTTTTGTTTTGAGAGAGTTAGTTATTGAACCAAACTACTGGGGCAAACCCCAATGGCCACCTTTCATACTTGGGAAGGGGGAGGTGTGGAGTTCGATTCCCCACCTTCTCAGAGAGGGCTAGGGATGGAGACGTGTAGTTTTAGTTGTAGGTTTCGACTCCCACACCCTGCAAGAGACAGGCAAAAGTCTGAGAGTGAGTTGAGAGTTAGAGTAAGACACATGAAAAAAAGAAGTTATTGAACCAAAAACGTTGATAATAAATAGCGAAAACCTTTTGTGAACAAACATATTGTTTCAAAAGGACACAATTATTCATTTTTTAACTATAAATTCGAAATTAAAAATAAATAAATAAATAACTGCCGAAAAAAAAAACAGTCGTTTGAACAAACACACACTCAAATCTTTTTATCAGTTGAAAAGATAAAAAATAACCGTCACATACTCATATCTTTTCGATATGAGACAAGGCATGTCGTAATTTGTTTTATCAACAAATGGGCCACCACTGATCTCCATCTTCATCGTCATCGGTGAACCACCACCCCATACCGAACCGTGTCTCTGGTTGTCATTGTCGTGTCTCTGTTACCCTCATCATCTACAACATAGTTCATAATGGCGAGAGAGCTCATGCTTGGCCATCGTCATTTTCTCTACTTGACTCAGCGACGGAGGAGCCCGTGCCACAACCGAGCTCGTCGACTGCAATAGAGGTCGACATCGCGCTTGCTTCAAGGCCCAACCACCATGAGTCGGTGCCAAGCCTCCATATCTAGATTTGGAAGCTCGGGAAGGGGGAGCTCAACGCACCAAACAAAGCTTTGTGATTGGCAACGGGCTCGATGCCGATGCTGTAGAGCCCGCCTGTGAGTGTGTTCTTCACTGACCACTTTGTGGATCTTGTGAATTAGAAAATTTTCGAGGCCTGAAAGCCTTCTAGTATAAATTAATAGTTCTATGAAAATTAATAGATAATCCCTTTGAAAGGCTAAGGCCGCGCATGGCAACCATTCTGTGCTCGGGAACAGATTCTGGTCAGAAATGATTCTTTTTTATTTTGTGCCCGGGAACTGATTCTGAGCTTTTGAAGGAGTTTGGTAACGGCCCAAAATTTCTATTCCTGAAATAGTAAAAGAACATAAATGCGTTTGATAACGGCATAAAATTTCTTTTTATTAATAATATTTTAATGACATTTTAAATATTTTAATATTTCTTTCTTTTCTTTTTTTCTTCTCCTCCTTCTTGGCCATGGCCGGTAAAATATTTTTTAATTAATAATACTTTTATTAAAAATAATTTTTTTATTTTTTTTGGCCATGGCCGGTAAAAAATTGTCTTATAAATAATTTTTTTATTAATAATTTTTTTTAAAATATTTTACTAAAAAAAATTTTATTGAAAATATTTTTTTCTTTTTTTTTCGCCATGGCCTGGTCACTGGCCATGGCCGATAAAATATTTTTTTATTAATAATATTTTAATAAAAAATATTTTTATTGAAATTATTTTTTTTTGCCATGGCCTGATCGCTGGCCATGGCCGGTAAAATTTTTTTATTAATAATGTTTTTTTATTAAAATATTTTAATCTTGCTAGATACGGCAAGGGTGGTCCTCGCGCCGGACATTAGAAGCTATATTAAAAACCATGAAAAAGAAGAAGAAAAAAAAAACTGATTCTCATTTTTGTTCCCAGAATCAAGAAGCTACTTTTTTTTTATTCTTGATTCTGCTCCAAAACTGATTCTGGGCACAAATTTGCAAAAATTTGTGCCTAGAATCAAAAAATTAAACAAACGGATTTCTATTCCCAAACTGATTCTGGGAACAAAAGAACAGAATCAAACACTATTTGGCAAGTTGTCATGCGCAGCCTAAGAGTAGGGTTGTGTATGTGGGAGAGAGAGAGAGAGAGAGAGAGAGAGGAGCAACTGTGGTAGGTCGTTCACTGTTATTGTGTTTTAGTGAAATTTTTGTCAAAGCACACAGCTAAAAACTATTAAAGAAAGAAATAATGGGCAAGTGTGGAGGGAGAATGCATTTCATATATGGTAGGCATTCCTCATAGAGATGACACGTGGAGAAGTCGACCAATAAAAAGTGAGCTTTTCAAAATTCAAACATAAAAATAATTTGGGACACATCACTCTAAGAATGTGATTGGTTAGTAATACCACGACTAATGATAAAATTCCTCTTCAATTTGAAGGGGCTACGATTGGGTTGCCAAAAAGTTAGGTCATTAAATCCTACCTCAAGCAGGCCAAGTCCAGATAACTTAACTATTATAAAATCATTATCCAAGTGATGAACAGGCCAGCAATGTGTTCGACTTGGGCAAAGTCCAGAAAAAAGTATTCAAAGCATATGTACAATTTTGAAATGATTCAGCGAATCTTACATAAGGCGAAACAATCAACCTGAGTATTCATGGGGTATTATATGATAAATCTTACTTATAAATTACATCACAGCACATTGCTCATCCGGCATGGGATTGATAGGTTATGCTCAATTCTAAATTACCTTCGAGAAGCATCAAAAGTTTCCATGAATTTTCCTTATTAATTGTGTGCTAATAACTATGTTGGAAATTTTAGACATAAGATGATCTTTTTTTAACAATATCGCGAGAAGTCTTGGATATAATTCCTATCTTCCCCCAACATCTTCTCCTTAACGTGACCTATATTTATAAAGGCAAATAAAAAATAAGAAAATTTTGGGCAATTCCTTTTCCTAATGCTGACACACCTACAGTTATACGCTAGTGACTAGTATAGACAATAGATCCGCTAAAACCGTCCATGATATAAATGGCCATAATCATGTAATTAAACTTACGTACGAGGTGAGATCTTTTACAGAACAGAGGAACAGCAAAAGAAAAAGCAAATGGCAAGGAGACAAAAGTAGAACGTCGACATGGGGGAGGGTGTTTGTGTCATTTCCCAATCGGGGTACCTATGATAATTGCAAGCCGTGCGAGGTAAGAGATGGGAAAGTCAAACTCAGCTGAAGCCAGAGGGAGAGAGAGTCGAATCTGTGGAGGACTGACTATAGAAGGGTGGGTTTGGGGGTTGCGAAGCTCTTCGCAGAAGATAGCTTGTAGCACAGTAAGAGCTCGTACTGTGCAACACCCAAAGAAACACAAACTCATACCTTATACCTGTAGGAAATGTCACTAGTGGAAGAAGGAGCTGATGATTACACCCAAGATGGAACCGTAGATCTCCGGGGGAATCCTGTCCGTCGGTCGAAGCGCGGCGGATGGACCGCCTGCTCCTTCGTCGTCGGTACTCTCTCTCTTTCTCTCTCACTCTCTCTGCGCATTACATGTGAACGATGGGAAGTTTGTGTTCTTCATGGGTTGAAGAGAGTTGTTGTTTTCTTGTGCTTGTCGATGCGCTTTTTGTGGGTGGTGCTGATTGGTTGGACTTGAATGGGATGCATCACGCTCTTCCACATACTTTGGAGCTGCTTTTTCCTTTTGGTTTTCTTTCCTGGACTTTCTTGATGATGGGGCGTGAATCTTGCAATGTGCGAATGACTCGTGTTGGCTGTTGTGTGTAGCTGGAAAGATAACCTAACCGACAACCTCCCATTATTATCATTGAAAGGTGAACAGCAGACATGAAATTGTAAATTGCTGAAGTAATAATTCCTTTCTTCAACTTGTTGCTTTGGGAGGTCGTGCCTTGTGCTTGTCTATTTGTATCTCTTTCCGTCCTTTACTGGTGTGCTCTCCTTGCATGATGTTGAATGCTTCATTTAGGTTATCAATATTTCAATTTCACCTTAGTTTCATGGAAGAGAACTGTGCATAGAGATTGAACGTTCGTGCAGAAAAAGGAAAAACGTATCATGGCTAATACGGTGAACAGATTCAATTACAGTCGAAATATATGTATTGGGTATTGACCAATTGGCATCTTTCGCGGGCCTCGACGTGGACCAGCGAAAATTCGATCGACTTCGATCCAGATAATCAGGATCGTGCTAAGTATTGCTCCTTCCAAAGTGGGTGTAAAGATTGAGTGAAAGCAACTATATATGAAATTCTCTTCTTCATGGCTTTAAGACTTGCAGAAGAAGTAGATTGAGCCGCAAAACACACAATAAAGACACAACTCCATTTTCCTGATAGGCTACCAGTGGCTATTATTATTCTCCAAAAAGTAAACCAAAAATCTGCCCCATAAATAGTTGGTTGGGCCTAGCATATCTTCCATATTCAATTTCCAATTTAATTTTTCAACCTACTGAAAGTACTTTGGCATTTACAAAGTCTTCGTTACATCCCCACTAAAACCGTGATGTGAATCTAGAATATGGTACTTTGTACAATTAACGATAGTGATAATCAGAAGAATACCACCACAAATTAGCTAGGGGATCTATCCAGTGTCCTAAAAGTCAAGAAAGATGATAAGCTTCCATTTGGTTTGGATCATAACCATCTAAAGAAAGTACAAAATTCGAACATAAACTTTGACTTCCTTGTGAGAAAAGTCTACCGTAGAGAGATTATAACCGGTCGAGATGTAACCAGAAGATACTGAGGAAAGCCAGTAACATCTTCTCCCAGTAGAATAATCAAACCACGAATTGACATTTTGTCACATCTTTTCTGTCCCTAATTGTCAGCTTTGGTCTAATCCTAAACAGTGAATAAGCTAGCTGCTCAACACCAACTCAAATCATAGAGCGAAGCATCTATCCGTTTCTTCTAAGATTCCTCTGATAATAATGCATCTTCAATTGGAAATAAACAGTACATGGTTACAATCTTCTTTTGGCCATTTTGTCCATTGAATCACTCAAGCCTCATGTGTACCTTGCACTTTCCTTCCTTCATTTTCCATGATTCTATGGTCATGTATTGTACTTGAACATATTAGGTAAGTCAATTTCAATTAAGTCTACTGAATCACGCAACCCGTCTCATGTCATGTTTTTTATAATCATTTTTCGTATTGCTATCGTTCGAACCCGTCTAAAAAAACCTTCTGTTTTTAGCGAAAAATCGAAAATCCTATGTATATTATCCTTGAGAATTTGAATGGTGGTAGTAATAGCAGTAATGCAGATCAGGTAGAGCCTCGCCGCAATTATTCAATTTGGCTTGTTTTATTGTATTTTGTTTTTTTTGTTTCGTTGGTCTTTGCGTTGACTTGTTGACTAAATTGGGTGCAGTGTATGAAGTCTTCGAACGGATGGCGTACCATGGAATCTCGTCCAACCTTGTGCTCTATCTGACCAAGAAGCTCCACCAAGGCACGGTCACGTCGGCCAACAACGTCACCAACTGGGTCGGCACCGTCTGGATCACGCCCATCCTTGGCGCATACATCGCCGACGCCCACCTCGGCCGCTACTGGACCTTCATAGTCGCGTCCGCCATCTATCTCACGGTACGTGCCGTCTGCATTGCCATCGGAGCGTGTGTGGAAACTTATGGTAGACATCATCAGACAAGGCCATCACCATTTTAGTGTTCCCGAATAGAGTAATCATCGGATTGACATGTGGAAATCATGCTAAGCCGGCCTAAAATCCGTTCTTTGAAAAAGCAAAGAGATATAATCGTAGTTGAGTCGATGCAATTTAATTAATACTCGAGCTTGAATCTGCTCAATTGCACCTAGCTGGATGCACGATCGGTGCTCAATTTCGAATTCTTAAAATACAATATGATCATGTGAAAACTATATCATTTAGCTATACATAATATGCATATATCATGCTTACGTAGTTAAAAAGTATAGGAATTAAGCTTTCCAGCTATGAGTATTTTTGAACTTGATCTCGACCTGATTAAGTACTTGAACCACTTAAACTCGAGAATAATCGACCCGAACCAAGTTCGACTAATCTTGGCTATTTTTCAAGATATACTAGTGGCAAAAATCCATCCCAAAAGTTTAGAGGAAGCACATAGATAATATAGTGTAAAGAATTTCTAGATCATACTTAATGGTTTGTCCTTATCGAAAAAGTATATTGAATTCATCGTCGAGACTCGCTAATAAAAAACGATTAACTTAATTTATGAACAGATATATGAGTACTGTTTATAGATTCTATACTAATCGACAACTTGTTATACAAATTAAAATTTATCTTTGATTCCCATAAACTATATGCTATAATTGTGGCAGTTTGGGTTGTACGTAAGATCTAATTCCTCCCTTCATATGGAAATCGAGGACGATTCTTGGTTGCATTTGCCGGCCAAGAATATTCTAATTTTCTAGCCACTCACGGGTTATTAATCCACGTGATCCCAAAAGTCCAAGGTTGAAAAATAAAACGAGGGAATAATTTTCCGTGAACGACTTAAAATGCTTCCAAAAATAAAATCTGGCATAAGAATTTATTCAGTGCTGATAAATTAATAAAAAGTAATACACGATGAAGACAAATTGGACCGCCGTTTTGATGGTCTGAACCCTATCGACTCGGGGGTTGTCGCCATGTTCCTCGGTGGTCCTTGCTTATCCTAGTAAGAACCAACCCACTATTCCATCGTATACTTCCAAGAGAATACGTGTTGGAATACTGTTCTGTCTATTTTAGGATGTAAAGATCACGAGCGACTGCAAAAATTAGGGAATGTTTAAACTTAATCACATAATTAGTGACTGACTAATGCTACAAAATATGACTGGCTAGAGATGCTAAAGTCTATAGATTAAGCTTAATAGGAAATAAGCCATGTATTATTATTAATAAAGACTGTATAAAATTAGTCGTCAAAGCGTTTGGTACATTGTAATGTAGAGAAAGCATCTTATACAATCGGAACATATACTTTTTCGTCATGGACGAGATAATTAAGCATGTCTAGGTTACTTCGTGCAGGGCATGTCGGTGTTGACCCTGGCCGTCTCGCTTCCCAGCCTCAAACCGCCTCCGTGCTCGGCAGCGAACGTCGGCGATTGCGAGAAGGCCTCCACGTTGCACCTCGCCATCTTCTACGGCGCGCTGTACACGCTGGCGGTCGGGACCGGCGGGACCAAGCCCAACATCTCGACAATCGGCGCGGACCAGTTCGACGATTTCGACCCGAAGGAGAAGGGCCACAAGCTGTCCTTCTTCAACTGGTGGTTGTTCAGCATCTTCTTTGGGACCCTCTTTGCTAACACCGTCCTGGTGTATATTCAGGACAACGTAGGATGGGCTCTCGGGTACGGGCTCCCCACCCTTGGGCTCGCGATCTCAATCGCGATCTTCCTCGCGGGGACCCGTTACTACCGGCACCGGGTGCCTGCTGGCAGCCCGTTCACGAGGATGGCCCAGGTCATCGTGGCCGCCCTGAGGAAGTGGAGTGTGCCGGTCCCGAGTGATCCGAAAGAGCTTCATGAGCTTGACCCGCAAGAGTATGCCAAGAGGGGGAAATTCAGGATCGACTCAACACCAACCTTGAGGTAGTAATTTGCATCAAATTCTATTTCATCCGTGTTCCCATCTGAAAGACATTATACATCAGCTGTCCAATACTGTCACATCTCATGTGTGTTCACATCAAGTTCGTCGTTAAAATCATATGTAGATTCCACAGTTTCATAGTTGTGCACTCATAGAAGGGGGGAAGAACACTAGAAGTGCCAAAAGTTGTGTACGGCGCTCACTTTGGTGCCAAAAGTTTCAAACGGATCACTTAAGTAACAAAAATTGTGAAAAACGATCACTTAAGTGCTACTTCGCCGGAAATCCGACGTGGTATTTTTTTATTAATTTCTCAAACTGATGTGGCTCGCCGGAGGTTGATGTGGCTCGCCGGAGGCTGATGTGGCATTTCTTTTCTTTTTTTTTTCCTTTTCTTTCTTCTTTCCTTTCTTTTCTTTTTTTTTCTTTTTATTTCCGATGGCCGGCGTCCGGCCACCGGCTATGGCCGGTCTCGCCGGGCGTCGCCTTCCTCCGAGCGAGGCCTGGCCTCGCCGGATCTGGCGAGGCAAGCCCTCGCCGGGGCTCGCCGTGCCCAGGCGAGCGTCGACCTCGCCTGGGTAGGGCGAGCCCCGGCCCCTCGCCAGATTCAGCGAGGCCAGCCCTCGCCGAGGCCACAGCGGCCTCGCCGGGCCTTGCCCGGGGGAAGGCGACGCCTCGGCGAGGCCGCCGTGACCTTGGCGAGGGCTCCCCTCACTAGATCTGGCGAGGCTGGCCCTTGCCGAGGCCACGGCGGCCTCGCCGGGCCTCGCCCGGAAAAGGCGACGCCTCGGCGAGGTCGCCGTGGCCTTGGCAAGGGCTCGCCTCGCCAGATCCGGCGAGGCCGGCCCTCGCCGAGGCCACGACTGCCTCGCCGGGCCTCGCCCGGAGGAAGGCGACGCCCGGCGAGGCCGGCCCTGGCCGGTGGCTGGCCTTCGGCCACCGGTCATGGTAGAAGAAGAAGAAGAAGAAAGAAAAGAAAAAAAAAATCAGAAAAAAATATTTAAAAAATTGAATTATATACGTGGAAATGCCACGTGTCATTAAAAATTTGAATATAAAAGTCACGTATTAAATTTGATCGGAATTTTTCGTCGTTGGCACTTAAATGATCGCCGGCGTAAACTTTTGGCACTTAAGTGATCCAAATGAAACTTTTGGCACCAAAGTGAGCGCCGTACACAACTTTTGGCACTTCTAGTGTCCTTCCCCCCTCGTAGAAGTGTCTTCACGAAGCAAAATGCTGGCAAAAAGATGTAATCCATGGACGATTGATGGAACAAGGATGTGCAGCATTTGAACAGTGTTTCGTGAGTTAAACCTATTCGTCGTAAGGGATACAATAGCCTATGGTTTGACTGATGTGTGGCTCTCTCTCCATGCAGATTCTTGAACAAAGCATGCGTCCAAGCCGGGACGACTTCTCCGTGGAAGCTATGCTCGGTCACCCAAGTGGAGGAGACGAAACAAATGCTGCGGATGATCCCGATCCTGATCGTGACTTTCGTCCCGAGCTGCATGTTGGCTCAAATCAATACCCTCTTCGTCAAGCAAGGAACTACCTTAGACAGAAGCATCGGCAGCTTCAAGATCCCCCCGGCGAGTCTATCTGGATTCGTGACCATCTCGATGCTCGTCTCTGTCGTGTTGTACGACCGCTTCTTCGTCAAGATCATGCAAAGATGGACCAAGAACCCGAGAGGCATCAGTCTTCTTCACAGGATGGGAATCGGCCTCATCCTCCACGTCGTGATCATGACTGTGGCGTCCTTCACCGAGAGATGGAGGCTCCGAGTGGCTAGGGAACACAATTTAGTCGAATCAGGAGGACAGATACCACTGACAATCTTCATCCTGCTTCCTCAATTCGTGCTCATGGGAACAGCTGACGCATTCCTGGAAGTAGCGAAGATCGAGTTCTTCTACGACCAAGCGCCGGAGAGCATGAAGAGCCTGGGAACATCTTATGCAATGACTACTTTGGGAATCGGGAACTTCCTCAGCAGCTTCCTCCTCTCCACTGTGTCGCACATCACCAAGAGGCACGGCCACCGCGGGTGGATACTTAACAAACTGAATGCATCGCACCTCGACTATTACTACGCCTTCTTCGTGGTGCTCAACATCCTGAATTTTGGGTTCTTCCTGTTCGTGACGAAACTCTATGTGTATCGTGCCGAGGTCTCGGATTCGATGGTGGTGCTCAAGGAAGAATTGAAAGGGCTGGAGAAGGTACATAACCAGGAAGTGCCGGTGACATAGCTATGTGATAGGTAAAATGTCACGGCTCCGATTTGCAACGAAAAGATGATAGTGAAACAATGCTTATAGCCTAAGGTCTACCTGGTGTAGAATATCCAGCATTTGTACAGCTCTTGGCGTCATCGCTACGATGCGTGGCTTAAACATTCATACACAGATGATGATGATGTTTATACTTCTTGGAAGAACACGAAGATAAAATCTCTATACAGTCTATTTGCGGGTACGACTCTTTCTTTGCTAGTTTACACCGCTGTCGAGTTCAAAGGCAACATTCAAATGACCACTCCAGGTTCGCAATTCCTTTTTGTATCAGATGGTCAAAACTCTGGCAATTCATTGTACAAGATATTTCAATCGTTATATATGTCAGTTAAAGAGAAAGGATCGATCCATCTTCACTCAACTATTATGATAGAACAACGAACTAAATTGCATATGATAGATATTAAAATGCAAAATTCAGCTCCAAAGACAATGACATCCTCGTATCGGGTCGATTCAGCAGAAGCTCGACATCTTCAAGATGTTAAACTGTTTACCCCATTAAGAAGTCCCAACTTGAATTTCCACTTTGTTTCGTGTGAGGACCAAAACAAACAATGCCTACCTTCATCCGTGAATTCTTTTGCTGGACCGAACAATGAAGGTTGCCATCAGGACCGCGTTGGTCGTGAGATTCCTTCCATGAGATATTCACAAAAAAACAAGAACTGATTATGGACTGACCAATCATACCATCTGTTGGGTTGACGTCGCAAAAACTTGATATATTCACCAGGAAGATCATCAAGAAGGAGCCAAAGTTGGAGATCGTCAACATAGCCAATCGGATCCACATTTACTAAAAAACTTAAGCCAATGACTTATGACACAAATGAGATTATTAACTGCTTCACACCATACCAGTTCTCCAATGTAGGACCTTTTCAACATAACCCACACATGCATCTCAAAGCCTCAATGGGAAAATTCCTCCCAGTGCAATCACCAACGACAGAACATAATTTTCTCTGTGATATCCCAAATGATAATGCGCTACTAATTGACTGTTTTGCAATCAATAACATAAGATCGGCAATCCTTCCTTTCTATCGTCTCGTTCTATCTGGAATGTTCGTTTCAAGAACCGATTCGCTACTTGATCATTCCTGTGGCACAAGACTCGTAGTATCGTGTTCGGATCTGATCTACTCCACTGTTCTGTTGTTGGAGGCACAAATTGCTTTTTCCTCATATCCTCGGCTCCGTTCTCGTCCATTTTACGCATCATAACACTAATATCTTGGATTAGCTTGTCCGTTGGTTGACTCATCAAAGCGATCACCATTTCCACCGTCTCTGCCTCCTTCTCCACTACGTCCTCGCTCATCAATCCTTCCCCAGATACACAAAATGATCGCTTCAAGCACTCGAAGTCCTCCTCGATCATTCGGTGATCCGACCTGTAAAATATCCTAGAGTTCCCTCCTGCAAGCAAAACCATAAGGTAGGCATCGAAAGAGGCCTTCATGACTTCTCTCATCGCTAATGGTTGTGCTTGATCGATGAGAATCATGCAAAGCAGACTCAAATTCTGCTTCAATGTCCGCAAAGTTGGCCTTATACGTGCACTGGCGACTTCACCAATATAAAGGCTATTGTAGAAGATATGGTTAGAGTCGACGAAGATCAAGCAATGGGCAGCAACTTCTGAGACATGTTGGCAGGCTTCACGTATGGCCGAGCAGGCGTTCTGAAAGTAGGAAGCACAGTCGTTATGGTACTTCTTGTCGCCGAAATGTTTTTGACCAAGAGAGCCAATGCGAGAGAGTGACAGCATCTCGTCCAAGGAGTGGAGATACGCGAGGAGATAGTGCAAAGTGTTGAGGCGGATGTAAAGGTGTTGCGTCCCGCGGCTCATCGATGGGTGAGGATGGTCAGCTTCGCTCGTCCGGCATCCTCGTGAGTCTTCTATGCCAACCTTGCAAGGGGTCACCTTTCTACAGAGTTTGGCAAACTTCGAATCTCGACGACATCTCGTTAAAGGGGGAAGAACAGGTATGAAATTTTGCTTTGATCCTGCATTGAAGTTTTTTCAAGAAATAATGAAATCAAATTGTGGTAATTCAAAACAGACCATTATATTCTAAAGATTATTCTTAAGAAGCTAACAAACGTTTCATGACTTTTTAGATATATATGCCATACATACTCTTCATTTCTATGATATCATTGGTCAATAGACATTAAATGTTTTTGCAATAAAAGAAGAATCTGGCAGTCACTTCTTATGTAATCGCAAAACTAAAGCATGAACATACATCAAGTCAACCATTGACTTAGATGAACAATGAGAATGCAATAGGTATAAAGTAATAAGCGAGGACAAGCTACATGACAGGTGATGCTTACCACATGATGCAACAAATGCAGCATAGTCCTGAAAGAGACTCCCTAAACTGTTTACGAGATCATGAACCAAATCCTCAGTAATTTCCATTCGAATGGCGAAGAAGTCGTCCATGGTTTCTTTAGTGAACTTGATCAAGTCTTCAGCTGATTCCGCATATGGCTTTGCCTTCGATTTCGGATTCCATTTCTGTTACAAACCACACTTGTCGTTAGCTTTTGTTTTGAAAATTGTTATAATCAGTAGTAAATTTTATTCAGGAGAATATACTATCAAATGAACTCACTTCTGATTCTGTCGCTCCCTGTAGACAATCTTTGCCTTTCTTGAGCCTCCCTTCGATCCATTGCTTTTGAAGCCTTGACATGGTCGACTCAACCTCATATGGAATCATTTCCCTCACAATCATTTTGCCTCCATCTTCGCATTCTACAGTGTCCTCGACCACCAATTGTGCCAAAACTTTTTCTAGCTTCCCTGCACTCTCCAATACTGTCACGATTTCATTGTCAAGTACCGAAGCGGAAGTCAAATGTTGTTTCAGAATTAGTCCATAACAACTGTGCAATGTGACGGCGGCGACTGAGGTTGCAACGGGATGGCACTTCCTAAGAACAGGACTGAAGGTTCCTCTTTCTTTTAAAGCCAAATCTTTGGTCTCTTTTGCCAACCGAATGAGTCGTTCACTCTCATCTTGTCTCGTATTCATTTCGCATTCTTGACATCCTCTTTCGGCCATCTAATGTGAGCAATAACAAGGAAAAAAGTTTAATTTCTCCACCATGGTAACGCAAAATGAAGGGAGAAATGAATCGCTTACACACCTTCGAGAATGCATTCTTCACAGACGATCGTATGTAACCATCCATGAGATCTACAGTCGGGTCCGTCACAGCATCACCTATCGCTTGTTCTGTTAACCTGGAAAGCATTACATCATCTCCTCCAATGCTTGACACAGTCACTGCAAACGGCAGCAAATTCTCCATCAAGTTCATCCTCCCGTCCTCGAAGTAGTCATGATAGTTACCCAATCTCTTCTCTGACCACCCTCGTATCGAGGTTAGAACTAACGATAGAACCTGAATGAATAGAGCATCTCGGTCCTGCTTTTTGGCGTCATTTGCTAATTCTGCCAACATGGCATGCGAAGCGAAAAGAAGTTCAGGTTCCAACTGCATCGTGCTGACGTATTGTTGGAAAAACACCCATGTTAGGCACAGATTGTGTATCGGCCGATTGATTCCAAGTATCAACCATGTTTTCTTCATGAGCTCAAGAAGCTCATCGACCTCGTCGAGGACTAAAGTCTCGTCCCTGATGTCAAATATCGACTGCAGCAGGGTCACATACAGGTGAATGTTCAAAGGGAATCCATCAGCCCAGTGGCAAACATCAGTAGGAGTTCCATTGGCGCTTCGCCATGATAAAGACACCACGGAATTGCTGAGGCTTCGCATGGTGTCTGAGTTTTCCCCGATGTCTAGGATCTTCGTCTCGCTGGCTTGGATAATTTCTTTGAGACGGACTGCGAACGTGTTTGGTGTCTCCAATGGGATTGACGGGTGAAGAATCAACCCCGCTTCTAGGATCTTGAGCTGTCTCTTTTGCCAGGCATGATATTCCCTTGAGTCGTTGAATTCAGATGGTTTTAGGTGGCGGAGAAGCTCGAGTGGAAGGATTATCGTCTCCGCCCGCTTACCAATCTACCGAGATTGAAAATGGCATGAATGAGCATTCACGTTTGAAAGATTTGCATCTGCTGATTAAAGTATATGGCTCTCAAAAATACTTCTACTTATACAATTTTCATTTGTTGTATTATATGATCAACTCTAATTCAACATGTAAGTACTTGTTCTCACTTTCAATTTACTATCTCCTAATACACAAAAGGAAGATACGTGAAAACAAATTTCTTTGCATAATAGTATGTATACCCCACAAGAGAAAGATGAACAATGAAGCACTTCTTGAGACTTACGTACATGGCCTACATGGGTTCTGGTGAGCGTTTTCCTGAGCCAATTATCACTCTGCTCCGTCACTCTCATTTGTTGCCTCATCAGCTCAGCTGATGTGAGCGGTCGCTTCGGCCTAGCCGCCACCCCCTGGGGACACGGCGAGCTCACAGCACCCGAGGCCATCTTCTTTGACGGTGTCCGATTCAGCATCTTCAACCCGAGGGTTCTCTTGATCCGGCTGCTTGGGGCCATCCCCACTCCTTTGGTCCGGGACGACGTGGACTCGGGCTGCGGCTGGTTCCACATCGAGGAATGGAACATCAGGGCGCTCCGCCCCCCGAATCCGGGCGAGGATCGGCACGACATGAAGAACATCTCGTACGCCGTCTCGCGGATGTCATTGGCCTCGAGGCCGGGTAGCTCGCCGAAAGGCCACTCGAGGTCGGCGGCCATGGGCGGGCCGCGGTTGGCGTTCCGGTGGCGAACGAGAAAGAGGGGGCCGGAGGAGGATGGTCAATGAAGGAGCGATTATGGTGGGGCAAATGTTTGGCAAGACAAAGAGGTGGGAATGAGGTGAGGAATGAGCTGTTTTTCTTTTGTTAGTTGTGTGACACCACTTTCGCACTAAGAGGAGAGAGAGAGAGAGAGGGCGGCATTGTATTTGTCAACTTTCTTTGTGCGAAGAAAACGAGGATTGCACTAGCAATTAACGAGACATGAACATCGTTTCGATTCCGTTTGTTTTTTCTTTTAGTTTCTAACTAAGGAAATGGGACCTTAACCTCTGTTTGTTTTGCGAAAAGCGTAACGTTTCTGGAAATAAAAGCTAGTCACTAATTTAAATTGAAAATTATTTTCCTTAAAACGAACGGAGTCTTATAGTAAGTTGGGATGCTTTACAATTAGGGCCAACCATATTTATTGCATCGACGAAAATATCCTCACAGTTTATGCATATCTACGCAAAGGTGGAAAAAAATCTGACATTCTCCCTCTTCCCGGGAAAATATTAGGCAGTATCAAAGTGCCACGCATCAACTGTCGTAGCGCACACCTACCCTATCAGATCCATTCATAGACTGACACGTGGCAAATGAATTAGAATTTAAGGATAAGTGCATTGAAAGTTTAAAAACTTGTCATCAAAGTCCAATTGAGTCATAAAACTTTCAAACAGTGCAATTAAGTCCTAAAACTTGTCACAAAGTGCAATTGAGTCCTAGAACTTTCAAAAAGTGCAATTAATTCCTAAAACTTGTCAAATTAGTCCAATTAAATTCTTTTTTTGATTGCACTTTTTAAAAGTTTTAGGACACAATTACACTTTCGCAACAAATTTTAGGACTCGATTGCACTTTTTGAAAGTTTTAGGACTTGATTGCACTTTCATAATAAGTTTTAGGACTTGATTGCACTTTTTGAAAGTTTTAGGATTTAATTACACTTTCGTAACAAATTTTAGGACTTTTAACGCACTTATCCCTAGAATTTAATAAAATCAAACTGATTCAGACCACCTGCAAAAGGAACAATAACGCGCGGCGACCTTCGAGAAAATTCGAACGCCCGCCAAACCATCTCACTCTTTCAACCATCGTTTGCACCCATCGTATAGTTTCAGAGAAAAGCTTTAATTGCACACATCTCCCTCTTCAACCATCTCCGCCCAGCCCATCTCTTTGATCGACCAGTCTTTTAGGTTTTCGAAGGCTCCATCTCCATTTCAGAAAAGACTTCACGTTTCAGAGGCTGCCGGTCCCTGCTCAACTTTCGCGTAGAAGACCGCCGCTTGACCGTACCCCTTTTATGAAGTTAATACAGTGGAGTACTACTGCCTTTAGATTATGGCATTCTATAATGCCGCAGCCGTCTTTGGTTTCTTCAGCATAGTGTTGTCCTGGACTATTCGTGTCGCAAAGAATTTTGAGGACCAGTACATTTTGTCTTTGCTCGCTCGTCCTTACTTCTCCTCGAGTCATTTGTTCTTTGGACATTGGATTGGTTACATGAGAGGACTAGCTGAAGATAGAGGTGTCAAAAGAACCCGCCCAAACACGATCCGACCCGACCCGATCCGATCCAAACAGGAAATTTTCGTATTGGGTCGGATTGGGTCTTAATTTGTTTGGGTAACAAGAAAAATAATTGGGTCATGTTTTGAATTTATTGGGTTCGGGTACCCAAGCCCAACCCAAACAAGAAAAACCCAAACAAGGAAACCCTAGATCTTGGGGTCTTTCGGCCAGATAGCGCTTCCGAACCATCCATGCCGGCCACTTCGTAGTTTCTTCGCCAATTTCGCGAAGAACAAAGGCTTCTCAGCTCTTCCGTCCTCTTTCTTGGTCTCCCCTGACAGCTTCAGATCATCCCACACGCCTACACACCGCTCATGCACAGGGATCTTTTACCGAACAGAAGCGGATCTTCTTCTCGGGTTTTGTCTGGGAGGGCCATGAATTGACAGAGCGCGATGGCGTTCGCGATCATCTCCACTGGGTCGGGCGTTGGGGTCGCGTCAGCTTCTTCTCTGCTTCCTCTCAGCCAAGCAGCCGTGGCGCAATGGGTACTCGAGTTGTTGCCACGGCCTGTCGCCCACCGCAGAGCGGTCTTTACCAGATACAAAGCGAAACAGAGACCAACATTCGCCGCAGAAGCTGTAGGCGAACCAGTCGGCCATCGGTGAGTGGACCATCAGCGCATGCGCGACACCGTTCTCTGCTGCATCGAGCGAGCCCTCACTGCTTGCTGGGTTCGCTCAACTCAGTCCAGTCAGAGTGGGACAGAGTCGCTCGTCACCGTTGTCGAATGTCTCAAATCGCCATCCATTTCGTCGAGCTAAATGTGGTCAGCTTTCAACAAGAGTCGGATCGGATCATGCAGCAAGAAACTGCCCATCGGAGCTCCCTCATCTTCCAGACTAGCCTCGGAACTTACGGTGGGAGAGTAAAAACAGAGACAGCGGAGCATTCGGTCTATACCAAGTCTTTAGTGAGCTTCAAATTCTTCTCCGGAGAACCTCACGCGCCACCGTGTCTCCCGAGTCATTTCTTTCCGGTCTGTAAAATTGGTTTTGATTCATTCTAGATTTGTCCACTGATTTCTGCTCTGTTTCGTTTTATTGTCGTGCATGGGGTCGCGGCATCAAGCCCTTTACGAGTCATCGCACCATACCCTCGGACTGGCGCCTATTGTATTGGACTTCACGTCGCCGCCACGGTCGCGCACCTCGTGACCTCGCACCTCGCTTTTCTGTTTAGAATTGACCCCGCACCTCGCGGCTCCTCGGGAGGCTCAGGCTTCACCGGCGAGGCCGCGCCGGAAGGGGCATCTTCGGCGTGCTGCAACTGAGGAGACGGGGCGGCACGGAAAGATAGAAACTCAGGAAGCAGAAGGGAGTGTTGGCATAGGCGCGAGTGGAGTGCATGGAAATCAGAAATTCATTTTTGGGCGTGGAATGAGTTTGGCAGGTTTTTGAGGTGATGAGAAAGCAAGAATAAAATCGTTTGGTTGAGTTTGAAACACGGAACCCGACCCGAACTGACCCGTCCCGATCACTTGGTTATATCATGTTCGGGTCTTGTTTCGGGTCGGGCCGAGCACACATGTCCATTATTTCGGGTGGGTCGGCTATCATGAAAATCCGACCCGACCCGACCCATTGACACCCCAGCTGAAGATACCATGAGTGGGGACTAATTTTCCCAACAATGTGGTGTTTTTAAGGTGGGATGATTCCTATGTCTCTTCGGAGTTTATGGATGTAAGGTACCATGGTGTTTTTTCTAATGGGGATGGAACCTTCTGAAACGTAAACATTGGTTGAAAAGAGAAAATGGGTTGAGCGGAAGAGGTTGAAGAGAGAGATGGGTGCAAAGGAAGCTTTTCTCCGAAACTAAACGATGGGTGTAAACGGTGGTTGAAAGAAAGATGGTTGGGTGGGCATTTAAATTTTCCCAACAGCTTCTTTTTGCATGTGGACAGAAATGAGTTCGCTTTTTACTTAATTTTTTCTCATTTGCCACGTGTCAGGCTATGAGTGGATCTAATTGGGTAAATACGTGTCATGCCGCCGGCTGACATGATGCTTTGATATCGCCTCTCTCCATCTCTCTATTCAATGGTTTGTCAATTGTTTACGTGGCGTGCATTGTTCCACTCTAAGTCAATCAGATATTGACACGTATATATTGATATGGATTTAGACGGACAAAATAAAAAATTTCCTTCCACCTCAGTTTTTCTCCTCCATCTACGCGGTCAACTTGAGCCCACTTTGCACCTCCCTCCGCCATCGCCACCGGCAAAGTTACCGGCTCCATGTCTATGGCGACCACTGTCGGGCATCGAACTGTCTCTATAGTCTTTGTGGTTGGAATTGCAGAACACGGCCATGGCTCCGCGCAGTTCTAAGGTCTGTCACGGCCATGGCTCCGCTGTTCCAGATCTAAAAGTTCCCCATCGTCCTTACTCGTCCATGGCAGTGCCTCCAGGTTTGAGTCGGACGCTGTCATGCTCCAAAGCCTATCACGACCATGGCTCCAAGGAGGACGATGGAATGGGGACACCACGATGGTGGGGAGGTGGGTGTCAAAGATGGAGGTCACAGCGCCCTTGAGTGGTGGTGGATGGAGACGTTAGGACATGGCCGAGTTGGGCGGTCGATTGGATAGATGGTGGCCGTGATGGAGGTGAAGAGAGAGAAAATCTGTGTTTTTATTTTTTTTTCCGACCAAGACATGTGTCAATTTTCAACTGCGTCAATTCATCGCGCCACATCACCATATGACGCGGCACTCGTAAATCACCGAATATTTTCTTGCTGCTTTGCCTCCGTTGCCATCGCCCGTCGCTCATTGGCAAATTTCATGAGAAAGATGGCAGTAGCATAACTTAATTTCTCCGAAAAGAAGAAGGGAAAATGGGAAAGAAAAACAAAAAGGGAAAGAAAATGAAAAATAAAAGGTGGTGAGGAAAACACGTCTCGACAACTCATTTTAAGTTGGCTCATTTCAATTATTCAACGGGATAAATTTTAAATATGCTGATTTACCTCCCCTAAAATTAGAGGATAAATTAACAAGTAAACCCCCTCATTTACATGTCGACGATTGAAATAAGAAGACAGATTTAGTCGCACCACCAAAAATAAAATCGACTTCATCGAAATTCCCTCGATTTTGCGGATACAAGTGTCCACAGAAACCCCAATATATTATGGGATAATTATACAAATTATCCATTAACTTTGAGCCAATATGCAATATAGTCTTCGAACTTTTAATTTGCTTAATGTGGTCCCCGAATTTTAGTCTGGCGAGCAACCCTAAATTTTTTAATTTGTTTAGTGTGGTTAAACTATATGATACTGTTCAATATTGCCCCTAAACATGAATCAGTGAAAGGATAATAGCGAATATCATATTGTTTAGGGACTAAATTGGATATGTACCAAAAGTTCAAAGATGATATCGCACGTTGGGTCAAAATTCAGAGATCATTTATGCCATCTTTTTATATATTTTTCTCTCTTTTATCTGCCCACTCAATGGACAATCATGACCCCCCACACCTCTCTCTCTCTCTCTCTCTCTGCCTCGGATCTGTGCAA